CGGTGTTCCAAGTATCCACCAAGGCTTCGACAGAATCACTGGCGTTACTAACCATTAAACCCTCTAAGGCTTTCTGGAAACCGATTGGTTCCATTACCCTTCGAGGGCGGACCATTCTAATGGGTCTGCCACTCCTGGGGGGGCAGACAGTGGCTCTTAGCTCCATCTGGACCAGGAAATGGTCCGTCCATGACAATGCGGAGATTTTTGTAACCTCCGCCTGTGGATATTCCTGTTTCATACTAAAAACTCCATCGAGGGTATGACCAGAACAATGTGTGGGCCTGTCAATCAATTGGAATAGGCCCATGTTTGTCATGGTATCCATGAACTCCCGAGCTGTGCCAGTTAGATCTTGCAAGCTGGTTTCGAGAGGAATGTTGAAATCGCCCAGAACCAATAGTCTGGGCAATTCCAATAGCAACTCCGAAACCAGGGCAATCAGCTCGGTTAGGAGTCTGTTGAGCAACAGGGTGGCTGGTATACCAACAGAATCCCCAAACTATCCCTGGTTTTCAGGCTAAAGTAAATACACTCAATGTAGGTTGTTTTCCGGATAGGCTTCCTGGTCAAGGTCAGGTTGTTTCTATGAACCAAGGCCACGCCACCTCCCCGCCCACTTTCTCTTATCTGCTCACTAACCATATACCCGGCCGGGAGAGCCTGCGCCCATATGGCAGCACTGGCATCTCCCAGCCAGGTCTCGGTGAAGCAAGCCTGGTCGGCCACCTCATCCACTATGAGATCGTGGATGATATGGGTCTTGTTTTTGACCGACCTGGCATTGCAAGACATCATGTTGGTATCATTTTGCCCAATGTATGACAGTGGGTTAAAAATATACAGTCTCCCCTCCATTCTCATGGGGATCCGTTCTGGGCCCCTTGCGAAAATGGAAAATTGTGGATATTCAAGCCCCATTGGCTTGAATGGAGGCACACACCCATGGGGGCACACAGGGGCATGTTGTGAGTACACACCCCATTTTGTCCCCCTCTGTTCACTTTCTGCGACTATATATTATTTGTAATAAACATCTGAGAGTGTTGGATTGCATGTTTGTCTAGTTCCAACCTTTGTCTATTGGAAATATATCTATGTCAACATTGTCACAATGGACCAGGGCCTATATTTACTGTGCCATTCACTGTCTGGACTCCACTGCTGGGGGCAGTTGTCTCTCATTCCACTCATAGTGACACCACCTTGGCTGCCTTTTCTACTAATCCCCCTATTATAGATATCTGTACTGAAGCAACATGGGTGTCACCATCAACTTTTGTGTACCATTGTCGATTGGATGCATGTGACTCTGTAGAGGCATCTTTCAGAAGCTGTAGTCCCAACATGATTCATATGTCTCAGTTTACTTTCCTTTAGATGAGGAGCTGTGGTACGTCCCACATCAGGAACCCCCCCTTTCTGAAATAAAATAAAATAAAACTCCACATTAGCTTTACCGATGAGATATTTCTTTACAGTGATGGAGATGGAAGTATCCATCACATCCTGAACTGGGGAGAGGGAAATTTCTCACAGATGAGGTGGGACATTCTTTAGCATTTCATTATTGTTTGATATTAGGTGCCTGTTGGCTGCATTTTCTCTGTATTCTTTACTTACCTGTCATTTTGCAGAATGGAGAAATATGTTAGTGAGTTTTGAGTTTTCAGCAGTAACATGGACTAAGAGCTATGGGGCTTGGTCCCTCTGCTGGTGGCTCTCTTGAAGTCTATTTCCCACCTACTGGAAAGATGAGGAGGAGTAACCCATATCAGGATGTTTTTGTCTCCATCGCTGAAAAGAAATATCTCACATTTTCAAAAAGGGGAAAAAAGAGGACCCAAATAATTACCTCACAGTCATCAATATCAAGAAATATTCTAGAGCAGATCATTAAACTAACAGTTTGTAAGCACTTAGAAAGGAATACAATGATCACTTAAAAGTCAAAATGAGTTTCTCAAAAATAAGTCATGCCAGTCTAATCTTATCTCTTTTTCTGATAAAGTTACAACCTTGGTAGAGGAGGGGGATGCTAGGGATGTAGTGTGCATTGATTTCAGTAAATCCCTTGACAAGGTCTCCCAGGATATCCTTGCAGAAAAGCTAGTAAAATTGGCCAGACATTGCAACTATTAGATGGATTTATAGTTTGTTGACCAGCCGAACCCAAAGGGTTCTTTCCAATGGCTACTCTTCATTCTGGTGCCACAGCGTTCTGTCCTGGACCCACTGCTATTCAACATATTTATCAATCACTTGGATGGTGAAATAGGGACAAATTTGCAGATGACACCAAATTGGGAGGGGTAGCTAATAGTCAAGAGGACAGCATCAGAATTCAAAATGACCATAACATATTAGAGAGCTGGGCTTGAACTAATAAAATGAACTTAACAGAGAGAAATGTAAGGTAGTATGCTTAGTCAGAAAAAAAGAAAAGAAAAAGGCACAGATATAAGATGGTGACACCAGGCTTGACAACAGTATATGCAAAAGTGATCTGGGAGTCTTAGTAGACTACAAGTTAAATATGAGTCAAGAGTGTGATGCAGCAGCTAAAAAAGGACAATATGATTGTAGGCTGGAGTGCGGTGTCTTGTTTGAGGTAAGTAATAATAATGCTACTCTATTTTGCTTTGGTCAGACCTTACCTGAAATACTGTGCACAGTTCTGGGCACAACAATTCAAGAGGATTATTGACAAGCTGGCATGTGTCCAGAGGAAGGCAATAGAAATGGCTAAAGTTCTGGAAACCATGTCTTATGAGGAGCAGGTTAGGGAGATGAGTATGTTTAGCCTGGCAAAGAGAAGGTTAAGGGGATGTTTAAATATTTGAAAATATGT